TTGAGCGGAAACTGAATCCTTGGTATCTAAGTCAAATGTTTCAGGTTCTTTCCTCCCACTCCTAAGCCTTGAGGAAGGAAATTGATAGTCATTATTAGCAATTCTATCCAAAATAGCAAACGCCTCAGTAGATGATTTATCCAGCAATGTCCCATTTACCGAGGCAGCCAGCATCATCCTTGTGGGTTCATTGACTCAATTATAAAAACATAAATATTTGAGTCCAATCATGAAAACCATGATTTGAACACTTTCGAAGAAAACTCTTGTAGCGATCCCAACACTCATACATAGATTTGTCGTCGCCCTGACGAAAGAATGCTATGTCATTCCTTAGCTGGGTATTCATGTTCGGTGGGTTATACCGCAATAAGTAACTCTTGCAAAGATCAACCCATGATTCCATCGAACCTAATGGAACACCACTCAACCAAGCCCTTGCTCGGTCACGCAATGAATATGGAAACAACTTTAATTTCAGAACATCCTCTTGCACTCCTTCTTGGCGGAAAGAATCACAAACTTCCAAAAATTATGAGTATATTGCATGGCATCTTCAGTTGGCATGCCTCCAAATTGCCCCAAAGAAATCAACATATTAAACATAATTGGTTTAAGCTCAAAATGTACAGCTTGAATTTCGGGTGCCATAATTCCATGATCAGCTCATCTAGCATCGAATTTAAATGATCACTTTTTCGACGTTTGATAATCAAGAGATTGTTTTTTGGCATGTCATTTTGATATTTAAAATTTCAAGGATTCAATTAATTTTATTTTTATATTACATGTTAAAGAATAACTTAGTTGGGATAAGGTTTTAAGGGTTAAAATGTAATAAATAAAGAATTTGGAGACTTTAGTAAAAAGATAAAATTTAAATACTTAAGTGAAAACAAGGAAATAATTAATGACTAAGGATTAATGTGGCCAGGCAATAATTAATTTGTAGACATTAAAAGATGAAGGACTTGGCATGGAATTTTGTCATTTCCAAAGTTGATGAATTAGCTGCTTATATGGCACTTTATTATAATTTGATATGTTTTCTTTAATTTACTAAATTAAGCAAATTAGCTTACCCAATTGGGAATAATTAGTGAAGCTTTCACTTCATCTTTAACCTTCAAGAGTTTTTTGAACCTCAAATAGGATCCAAATTAGGGTTTAAATAAATGATATAATTTAAGTTGGTTATCAACTAAAAATTTAGTTATTGTTAATTTAATTAATATTAATCTTTTATTAATGAAATTATTACATATAATATTGGGCATTAATAGAGATAATATTAGTTACTAAATCTTAGTTACTCTTATTAATCTTCTGTATAAAAAAAATCATTGTCACAAAAATATAAATATTTATGAAACAAAATTAAGAAAAATACTAATATAATAATAAATTTAACCCTTAAATCAAATGGTGCCATGTATAATGACCCAAAATTTAATTTTTTATTTTAATTTATTTTAATTTTAAAAGTTACGACATATTCTATAATTATAACAAAATAATTATAGAATATTCTATAATTTTAAAATTTACGACATATTATATAATTATAACAAAATAAAATTTATAACCAAACCTTCTTCTAAAAAAATTGAATAATTCAAACAATAATTTATGATATTAAATTTAAAAGAAACTAAATTTATCACCCTTTTGATATAGGTCAACCTCTTAGTGCAAAGTTTTTCATGGTAAATCTACCGAGAATCTTATTAATATAAACTTTTATTAAAGATGGATATAAAAATTTATGGTAGGAGATTAATTTTTAAAATTTTAAAGGAAGATTGTGTCAAACGTGAAAAAAATATGTCTCCTTTTTCTATTATAAATTTACTTGATAAAAATTTATTAGTTTTACAGGGTATACTATATCATATTTATCTATTAGAATGTCATTTACAAATAGTATGATAAAAATCTTGTCAAGAGAACTTTATATGCATGGGCTAATCAACTATATTTTACTTAAAATCAAAAGAGGTTATGGTACCATTTACGGGATACTTCTGAGAACCATAAATGAAATTTCTAGTAAAAATTTTATTTTATTATAAATATAGAATATGTTGTAACTTTTAAAATATTTTAAAATTAAAGATTTGAGGGTTAAGTTTATTTTTAATTTATTAAGATTAGGATCAAATTGATAGAATATATAAGTAACAATGACCAAATGTGTAATTATATCAAATAGTTTAACTACGACATCAACATCTCTATTAAATATTAACGACAAGTGGTTTAATTAAATGCATTTAAATAGTTGAGTCACCTAATTGACAAAATTTCAAAAATATTAGTCAAAATGAAAAGGGGCAATAGTTAGGTGGTCACTGATATAGTTTACTGTTTATTTTTAAATAATTTATCTTTAAACTTTTAATTAATTTATAATTATATGTTTCCTTGAGAATTTAATTTTTTTATAAACTAAATTAATGGTGCTGTCTTTGGTGATGCACATCGCTGCTTGTCTAATGCTGTAGAATTTTTCTTCTAGTGAATATGAACACGCTTTTAAAATTAGTAAGGAGTATGAAACAAAACAAAAATTAAAAAGATAAATAAATAAGTTAACTTGAGCAAAAAAAAGTTATTCATTCAAACTCAATTCCTTTACGATCATATTCAATATATTTTTAAACAATACATTTATAATTAGGATAAAGTATATAAATGGTCCCTTGACTATAGAATATTACTTTATTAAGTCCCTTAACTATTAAAAGTTAAAAAATAATCCTATGAATATAAGGAGTTAGTTTTTTTATTTCATTGACTATTAAAAGTTACAAAATGGTCATTTGACTATTCATTATGTTCCAAACTTGTCCATTTTCGTTACAAAATTGATGACAGTATGAGATGTACATTAACTTGTTAATTGAGATATGATAAAATATGATATCATAATCTCAAACAACTATCATATGTCAGTCAGTATTCTAACGTCCAGCTCAACTGACATGTAATTTTTTAACAAAAAAAAAACGAGTTTGCGACATAATTAATAGTTGAGTGACCATTTTATAACTTTTAATAGTTGAGAGACTCAATAAAGCAACTCCTTATGGTCTAGGGTCCATTTTGTCACTTTTAATAGTCAAAGTACATAATAAAGCAATATCCTACAGTCAAAGACCATTTTTGTACTTTACCCTTATAATTATTGATATCTTAACCGTTTCTCGCTCGGGCGGGGGAAAATCGATATCGACTCGAGGGTTTTATCTTTGAAAATTGTTTTGAAAGGTGAAGAGCCGCCACCAATTATTTGAGGTGAGATTGGAACACCATAAAACTAGGTGATTTTAATTAAAAAAAAATCTTATTTTTATCAAAATACCAAGTTTTGGGGTCTACGAAATCCAGAAATCAGGTTCAAGAGTCGGTTACGCGTGGGGAAAGATTAACACCCCCACAAGCACCCAAAAATTGGTACCTAGTTGATTACCCTATATTTAAAATCAAAAATTTGGAGTTCGATATTTATTTAATTTAAAAATCATTAAGGATGCAAAGTTGAGAAAGGTGTTCATTTATCGAGACCGATAGCATTCACCCCGAACGTAATGCGGGAGATCAGCTATTGTGTCTAATAACCGAATATTGCCTCGTTTTTTAAAAACATGATGGTTTTGAAAAAGATGTCGACTTATTCAAAGAATTATCAGTAGTCACCCCCTGAGCACGATCGCGGGAGATATACTATTAATGTGCCTTAGATTTATAAAAATAATGCAATCAAACAAAATTTTATTTGTCTTAATTAAACTAAAAATAAATTAAGGCATTTTCTAACTTAAAGTGTCAAATTATGAAAATTAAAGAACCTAGGGGCTCAAATCTAAAATGTAGGTTCTAGTATTAATACTTAATGCTATATATTAAAATAAATCAAATATTCACGTATTAAAAATTTTCTTTTTATAATTTTAAAATGATTGAATATCACTCTTAGTCAATTTATTTTGATTTGAGTAATATCATGCAGATTAATTAAAAATGGCATGTAGCTAAATTCATATGTACAAGTAAATGCAACTATATAGGTAATTTATAAACATATTAAAAACTAATAGTAATTAAATATGACTAATAAAAATTAAAATAAACGTATATCAAATTATTTTAATAACATATAATAAATCCATTATTAACAAATACATATTATTTTACCATGGAAAGAAATGAAATGGTGAACATTATGAGTCCAACATGCATTCAAAAGTTATTTACTTAAATATAAGTTAATAGCCACACATCACAATATAAATATATTTACCATATATGTTACAATAAAACAAATGCACTTAATTAGGAAAGAAACATATTTAATAATAAATTAATATACAATTACGGAATTGATGCAAATACATGGAAAAATTATAAATTTAAAAGGTATGAAAAGTGAGTCAAATAAAAAAATTAAAATGAAATTGGAGATAAAATTAAAGGGTATATTATTAAAAGTAGATCTCGTATTATATGAAACATATATACCTACTATATATAAAATGTATGTATAAAAAACCTAATATATATATTCTAATACACTGATGGATTAAAATACAATTTAATCAAACTTCAAGTACGGGAACCAGAATAAACCTGAAATATATATATAGGATTAAAATGGAAAAATTAAAATAGCAGACCAAATGTATAAACACAGAAATTCGAAACAATTAAATTTAGAGACTAAAATTAAATGCAAGTAAAAATAAATATACATAATTATAATCATGCAAACTTAGATCTATGGACTAAAACGAAAGATAAAAAAAATTAAAAGTGCAATGTATAAAAACAACAAAAATTAAATACACTAGTACTTGGGACTAAAATGCAAATAAGCACTAAAAATAGAGAGACTTAATGACAGTTTTACCCTAATAATTCGGTGGCTAAAAGCTAATTTACCCGAAAATTGTAATATAAAAACCCAATTTAAAATAAACCTAGACTAACCTACATCTAAACACACGCACACAGCCGTTTCTCCTCTCCCCTTTGTATCCTCTCGAGCAGCTCCTTGCTCATGGTTCCCGTTGGAATTCTCCAGAGCCACACGTCACTCACAATTCCCTTGGTGGCCACCTTCACCCCGACAACCGCCTAGCCATCGTCACTAACCAGTGTTCCTCTTTCCTCTGATCACCACAGGACTCGACTAGGACCAACCCCGACGAGACTCAACGCTCAGGTAATCAAACACTCATCTTCCTATTTTGTTTCGATAAGACCCTACTAGAATCCCCTGTATGATAGCGAATCTTCCGACACCGCCGTGGTAATTGCATGCGACGAAGGACACGAACTGTTGAGGTAAACGTTCACTACTCTCTCTTACCGAAAACAACAAATTGACACCAAAGGGGGTCCAAAGCGACCTTTAGCCTTTCGAAATTGAAGCCCAGACTGATTACCAAACACCCAGGTAAACGAACTTTCACTTCTTCCTTTCTATTTCTCGTTTTTTATTTAAAAAAATCAAACTTATTTGGTTTATTAAGACTAATCCCATTCCTTTAACTCTATCAATTGCACCCAAACGAAGTCCTTTAACTCTATATATTGCATCCAAACGACTTAGACGAGCCACCGAGACTCTACTGTTGTTTACAAAACTAAGGTAAGTCTATAATCCCTCTCTACTTTCTATTTATTTTCGAAATGATATAAGCATGCACACAAAGAAAATACAGATTTACTATGTAAACTTTGAAAGAAATAAAGGAGACCTCTTTTGCATTACTTGTTCTTATCGACAAGAATCAGAGGAAGCTCCTCTGCTTACATTTTTTCTGTTTCGAAGGTGAAGCCCCCCTTTTTCAATTTGTTTCCCCCCTTTTAAAACCGAGAGCCTCCTGCTCGAATCATTTTTTCTGTTTTTGGTCTCCTTTTTCTTTACCAAATTCCTTTGTCCTTTTGTGTATTTTCTCTGTGTTTGATGAAGTTTTGATTGGAGCAGGGAAAGTGATTAATTCTTTACTGACTTTGAAAATGATATTTGAATATGGATTTGTTGCAGGTTTCAAGTGGGCAGCTCGGTTGGGGTGCTGACAGGGCGTACACGAGGTGCTGCTAGGTTGAAGTGATTCACGTGGGAGGTATTGATGACTGTGGTAGAGTTGCTGCCACCGGGTCGGGTCTTGTAACCTGTAAAAAATAATTATATTAATAATAATAATAATATAATAATAATAATAATAATATTCAGGACGAAAAAAATGAGTGTCAACAATTGATATGTACACTGATTCAATTAATTTAAAATTCATATGTATTTCTTAGAAATAAATTAAAATTTCAATTTTTAATAAATTTTTTTAATAAATAAAAATGATAATTTGAAAAAAAATGTTATTAATTAAATAAATTGGAAAAAATTGAAGAATCCAACGTTAATGGGTGATTATTAATGCTAGTAATATGTTAATATTATAATGGTTGATAAAAGAAAGGTATAATATAAAAATAATTATCTAAACTGCACTTAAAGTAACTTTTTGTGTTTAAATTTTTTTTTATTAAAAATATGTGTTTAATATTTTTTTTGTTATACTTTTAATTGTTCATAATTAAAAAAATCATTTATTGACATGTTTCATGTTTATATTTTTATTTTTAAAAAATAAAATATTTTTAAAAAAAAAATCTTAACGTAACATGTGTCACTTAACAGTTTTTTAATGGTATTTATCTAAAAGTGTAACGAATAAAATATTACAATCCTACTTTTTAAAAATATTCTTTAAGTACCAAAAATTAACTTTAAATATAATTTAAATACTTATTTTTACATTAAACCTAGAAAAATAGTTATATATAGAAATTATAGCACATAAAATTATGGAAATTTGTTATCCAGTTTAACGACAAATAAGAATTTATTTTTCAACTTAAATTAACAATGTAGTGTATGGACTTTTAATAATTTATGATACAAGTTTCTTGGCTAGATTTTCCTCATAAGTGGAGAGTACGACTCCTTGCATGTGTTAGGTTGCAAAAATTCAACCAAGTTAATTTTTGGAATATGCAAGTCTTCATTTAACAAGCGCGACCTTCTTAACAATTCACTCAGAGAAGCTATCAACTGTTTGAAAATGATTTCGTAGGCAAGTTTGATATTATTTTGAAAACTAATTTTCTAGATATTATAAAAAAATATTTTTAAAAAGTATTTTTTTTAAATTAAGTATTTAAAATTATTGTTAAGAAGTAACTTCAAAAAGAAAAAAAATGTGTATTTTAAACATCATGTTATAAATTAAAAATATAGTAATTAAATTATATTTACACTTATTAATGATATAATATTTGAAATATATCAACTTAAATCATAATAGAAATAAACAAATATTTTATAATAACCCATTAATAATATTTTTGTGCATGAAATGTTTTATTAAAAAATATGTTACCAACATTTTTAACATGTGGCTTAAAATTATTATGAAATATTAATTATATATTTATTTGACAAAAAGAACATATGTAAAATAAAAAAAAATTAAAGTTCTATCAATTTATATCTAACAATCAATTAAAATATTAATAAAAAACAAATAAATAATTATACATGTATGTGTAATAATTTAATATTTTAAATTAAATAATTGAGTATAAAATTATAATTTCACTCCAAAAATGATTTTTCACAACAAAAGTTAGAAATTTGAGTTTTGAGATTAGATCTGTTTGATAGACTATAATAGGTTTTCTGGAAAATAATTTATGTAAAATGAATTACATGAAAACTGTTTTATATAAAATGAATTACCTAAAACTGTTTTACGTAAAATATATTACATTTTCTGGAAAACAGTTTCAAAAACTATTTTATGGTGTTTTGATGATATTGTGCAAACCATTTTCACTAATTGTTTGATACACTATAATTAATTTTATAGAAAATGATTTACATAAATTGAATAAAGTTTGATTCAATTAATATTAAAAAACGGTTGGATTAACGATTAAATAAAAAAGTTAGTCTAATTCGGTTAATGGCAATTCTGTTCGGCCGAATTAACCGTTTGAACACTCTTAATTTTAATTATTAGAATTTTATTAGTATAATACTACATTATTATAATAATATTAAATATATAAATAAGATTCAGAAAATATCTTATAGCTATCAAACACACCCTAAGTTAAAAAAATATTTTTCCAACCATGGTTTTAAATCGATTTTTGAGTGGTGTTTAACATTACTGATGGGATAGATAGAAATCACTTTTCTATTGTCAGAATCATTCTTAAACTGACCCTAATAATTTAATAAATTTTATGTTTATTAAAAAATTTATCATTTTTTTATATTTAGATCGTCATTTTTAAATCACGGTGAAGGTCTCGTAAAATTATTTTTGTCCACCGCATCAATTATTACATTTTACACTCAATCCGCTGCATACCATTGTCCATTGGACATCCTTTGCTTACCACTTTTTTTTAATGAAAATATGAAGTCACACTATTAAAAGTACAAACTACTACTATCAAACACCCCTGGGCTCCCGGTGATATGCTGTTAGGACCTCCCTTGGTGGCTGCTGAAAAATCTAAACATTAAAATCGGCCGGGCGAGCTATCTTGGTCATTCCGTCAGCGATTGAGTTGTTGTTTCTGGTTATGTGCTTAAAATTAAACCTCCAGTTCTGCTTCAATAAGTAAAAAATGTGAGGTAGCATTGAAGAACCACCTCCTCGGCCCCCTCGCTCGTTCAAAGCCGTCACCGCTTCTTTACTATCTGATTCAACGATAACAGCATCAACTTGCCTATTCCAAGCCAATTTAAGCCCCTCTAGTATTCCCTAGAGCTCAGCATCTAGTACCGAACAGGTTCCAATTTTAATATGCAATTACAACACTTTAAAATTGATGCATAATCACCGACGAATTTACAAGTATCGCTTTTAATTATCAAAGTGATTTAATTTTTTTTTAAAAAATATACAAGCTAAATTAACATATTAAAAATAATTACAAAAAAATCAGATCTCATTTAACTTATAAAACAATATTAATACAATTGTGATGCTTGTAAATTCACATATTAAAAATAATTACGCAAAAAGGTGTTCAAAGATTTTTTTAGGCCAAGTGTTTGGGTTCAACCTGCTTTGTCAATAAAATTTTGATGCTACGGCATTCCCTCTTCGTATCGTGGTATGATTTTTGATTGTGCTGGTGTTGTTCCTTGAGTGGTTCGGATTAGTTAAGCCTTTCATGTTTTGGATCGTTGACCTGTTAGAACCGAAATTATAATAAATATAAACAACAATCAGGATCTAATCATGCTAAATCATCAAGAATAAGATATTATATTTGATGAAGCGTACTAGAATTAATTGATATGTTAAAATATTTGAATAAGATACTATATTTGCTGAAGCGTACAACTAATATATATCTTCCCTAGCTAATCATCAAGACCCAACGTATTTAGTCTAGTCTATGGGATATCATATGACATAACATGATCATTTTACGAATATCATGCTTATTAACTTTCGTTTGTACACTACTCGGAGTGCTATCAATCATAAATTGATCCATGACTCTATGTCTTATGCTCATAATTATTTTATTAGTAATAAATTATCTGATTTCACCTAATATCAAATAATAATAAATTATAATATCCGATTTCACCTACTTCAATTATTAAAATCAACAATAATACATGACATCAAACAACATCGAGTTTACAAGTATGAGAATATATTATGCATAAAATATACAAAACTCGAATAACATATTATGCATATATGAATATACAAAACATCACATTTAAAAAATCCATGAAATACTCTAAAGTTTAAGGCGTACCGATCTTAATTCCCTAAATTCAAATTTACTATCTTTATATATGAATTGTGATGATTGTATTATATATATATGACGCATAAAATAACAATTTTCATGTCTTTATTTATTTACAAGTATGAGAATATCTAATAATAGTGTACATAAAGCACCTATCTCTCCGCCATACTCATAGTGAAGGTAATTTCTGTGCAGATTTCCTCTCCAAGATAGGATGTTCCCTGGATGAACAACTGATTATTTTAGAGTCTCCACCTGCTGTTGTATTACAGTTCTTGGAAGCAGATTATAGAAGAATATCCTTCCCGAGAAGATTCAAAGTGAACAAGTTTTATGTTTTTCCTCTTTGTAACAAAAAAAATAGTTTACATAAAGACTATATCTAGAATTAAACTAGATGAGAGATAAAAAAATTAATGTTGAACTTATTGAATGATCTTAGTGGTAAAAGAGATGTCGTTCTCTTTAGAAGACTCAAATTCGAGTTATTATATTTCCATGGTATGTGTGCGTTGTTGATAGCTAACAAAAAAAATTGAACATAAACTACTATAGTAATAGTTCTAGAGTATTAAAAAAATTCGTCTAATTCTTTTTCTTTCATACACGGAACTCAAATTTCAAACTTTGTCTAAATAAAATCAAACTCATTTCAACTTGATACAAATCGGTATTATGTCTTGGGATGAGTTTGCCACGCTCGACGAGCACCGTTGAGCATAGGCCTATAAATGAACCAAACGAACACGAACGGTGGTATGTTCATATTCGTTCGTTTAGCTTTAACCGAACAAATGAATGAACACAAACATAAATGAAAAAAAAATATTTCTTGTTCATGTTCTTTCGTTAAGGAATGTAGCTTGTTCGTGTTCGTTCATTTAAATGAACGAACATAAATGAACGGATGTAAACGAACATAAATGAACACAATAAACGAATGTTAATGAACACAAACGAACGAACGTAAGCGAACACAATAAATGAACATAAATGAAAATATATATTTTTCTTTCCTAACAATTTTATGATTATATTTTATTTAATTGTTTTGATCTTTTTTTATTTGTATTTATAATTAATTGAAATTTAAAATATTTATGGGTATCAAATTAAAATTTATTGGACTTGAATATTTTAAATGGGTCTAGAGAGATTGGACAAAACATAATGGAACACACATAAACGAAAATATTACCGAACATTCACAAACGTAAGAACGAACGAACATTCTGTTCATGTTCGTTCATTTAATTAAACAAACATAAAATCTTGTTCATGTTCGTTCGTTTAATAAATAAACAAACATAAACGAAGTTCCCGCCAAATGGTTCGCTGAACGTTCGGTTTATTTACAGGCTTAGCTGAGCACCACTAACGATGAGCACCATTGAGCACGATTAATTTAATATATAAAAATTTAAAATTCTAAAATACTCAATGTATAATTATAAATTAGTTAAAAACTTAAAAATAAATTAAATAAAATATTGATTACATTATTTTCTATAAATTTTTAACAATAAAAAATTTATTATTTACCATTAATTTAAAAAACTTATGGGAAATAATATAATTAATATTTTATTTTAAATAATTTATCTTTAAATTTTAAACTAATTTATAATTATACGTTAAGTTTTTTAAAATTTTATAAATTAAATTAATAAGGCTAAGCGACACTCATTATCAGTGGTGTTCAACGGGGTTGGTGTCGTAGAATTTTACTGTGTCTTGAGGACTAAAGCGTGTGGAAACTTCAAAGCAAAGTCCCCACTTATCCCATATTTCTCGTTCCACTCGTTTTTCCTTTCTTTTAATTGCCTAACAACTTCCATGATCAATCCTCAACACTCACTTCTCATAATTTGCTAAACCTTAATTGGCTTTGAACAAGTCATTTCTTCAAGATATACAAACATACTACATATATACATTTGAGAATATTAAGCAGATATAATGAAAGATATGCCGCCTGGTTTTCGGTTCTACCCGACAGAAGAAGAGTTGGTTTCATTTTATCTTCATCACAAGCTAGAAATGGAGAGGAAGGATCTGAACCGTCTTATGGACCGGGTTATACCCATTGTCGACATTTATGAGTTCAATCCTTGGGATCTTCCACGTATGAGTTCTGGAAAAAGATAAAACTTTTAAAGATGAAAAAAGGGTTACTATCATTTTATGAAGTTTTTAAATGTGTTGAATTAAATCACTGATTTGATTGATGCAGAGTTGTCAGTTTACCTGTGCCATAAGGATCCTGAGCAATGGTTCTTCTTCATTCCGAGGCAAGAGAGTGAGGCTCGGGGAGGAAGGCCGAAGCGGCTAACGACGACTGGGTACTGGAAAGCAACTGGATCTCCTACTTGTGTTTATTCGTCGGACAATCGACCTATCGGCGTTAAAAGGACTATGGTTTTCTACAACGGAAGAGCTCCCAACGGTAGAAAAACCGAGTGGAAAATGAATGAATACAAAGCTATTGAAGAAGCAGCTTCGTCTAATGCTTCCACTCCAACTGTAAGAAGAACAAGTTCATTGTTTTTTTATGTAGAAACTATATAAAATGACATGAAATAAAAAACTGCAATCTTCATTAAAAAATTATTATAATTTCATTGAAGATTATCTGATTAAGTTTATTTTGTTACGTACAAACTATTGGTTGAAAGAGTGATTTGAGATACTCTGAATTTTAGTATAGATATCACATAAAATTTGAACGTTAGTACAATCACAAAAATAGTTAATTACTAAAAGAAATTTCAAATTTCAAATTGTATACTTATTCATCCTCACATCTTAATAGATCCGCTACAGCTATCTGTAGAAGTAGACAATATTGAACTAGGTTAGATCAGATGTTATATGTTGATGTGGCTTTATTTTCTTTTTCACTTGCTAATTCTTGTCGTTCTTTTGTTTACTATGCAGTTAAGGCATGAATTCAGCTTGTGCCGGGTATACAAGAAATCAAGATGCTTGCGGTCATTCGACAGGCGGCCGCCGGCAGGAGGAGTGCAGATATCTGAGCCATCTGCGGCAGCAGCTCATCAAGGTCAAGCTGCTTCACATTATCAGAGACCTCAAATGGAGGCAGTGAGAACCGGGATCTCATCTTCAGAAGATCGTGGGAAACCATCTCCAACTGGGGGAAACAACAACTCATCAGCAATGGTACTCAACTGTGATGAATTCTTCTGGAATCTTGATGGCTTCTGGGATTCAATGAAGTAAAAGAGATATTAGGGTTTTGAAGGTAGCTCCACCTGACTCTGTTTGTTACAGGTTGAGATGATTTAACCTAGGTTTCAAATAATCATAAAATCAAAAGCTTTTCCTTGGATTTGCTCATAACCCAAATTAATTTGGAAAGTCGTGCTTCTTTTTATCTTTTTCATTTTTGTGTTTACTGGTTTAATCATTTGCCTCTATTTCCCGTAAAATATGAATTTAGGAAGGTTCATTTCAGTTCGAACTTTAATCTTTATCGGTCTGGCCAAATTTGAGTATCATAACCTCTAGATTGTACGGTATGCAAGCTTAATGAGAATTTTAGATTTTAACATATTTTATGTTGATTTGCATTTATACTTTTATTATATGTTATTCAATACGAACGAACTTAATTGGACTCAAATTTACATTTTAATACAAAAATTAGAAAAATTTTAATCAAGTTTGGGAATGAGTAATTTGATTGAATCTCTAATCCAAATTTATAAAAATTCAAAAAGAAATATTCGGTGTCAATTAGGTGACCACCACTGGTTGAGGGGACAATTGAAGTTAATTGGTTGATTCGTTGGACGGAAGTCAAGTCCCTTCGCATGTGTAGCATCTAGGAACATTCCATGCCCTTCCACTCAAATTTAATATGCAATCTTTAGAGACACTAGAAAGAATACTAACAATCGGTTAATTTAATGAGATGAAATATTAATTTTCTTAAAGGTCGTGAGTTCAAATTTTGATATTTGTGAATAGAATAAACTGAGTAAATAGGATCATCCCTTTATCAAACTTGATTAAAATAATCAGTCAATAAATGAGCTATCGACATTAAAAAAAACATCAGAAAGTCATTTGCACAAATTGAGGAGTGCTCCATTTCACCCCTAAATTCGGTTGTCAATTTTAAGTTAACTTCAAAAAAGGGCAAGAATTTTAACGATAATAGCATTAGATTTTGTAATATTTACATCATAAAAAATATATAAAGTCAACAAAAATGTGGACAGAAGAAAGATTTTTTGGCTACATGTAGGCATTGTTGTCGATACCAAAGACTAGATATAGATAGATACGTCGGAACCTAGAATCACAAAAATAGATTATAGACTACCCAAAACTTTCTTCTTCTTTTTTGGATCCTAAGTTCTACTTTTGGATAATCGTTTATCATTAAACAATCATGCATATAACATGATATGATCTCGATTATATGTTTCGAGTCATATATGTGAATGTCCAATCGTGATTCTAGTAAAAAACCCCGTAATGATAGCTTGAACTCTGAAATTACATAAATATAAACATAAGAAGGAAATGATATGAAATAATAATTGAAATGATGGAATGAAAAGAATGAGAAAGTTGTTTGAAGGTGATGGAAGAGTGATGGTTGTTGTGGTTTGATGATAATGAAAATAGATGGTGAAGTATGAATGGCGTTGTCGTGGCAAATGGTGTTGTTGTGGCAAAGTGTGTAAGGATAAAGCGGATTGTGACCCGTTAGCTATTTGGAGCTAAGAACCAACAATATAAAAAAAATTGGAATCGAAATGGTAGGGTATGGAACGTGACCCACTAGCTATATATGAGCTAGGAACCAACACTATAACAAAAGGAAATGGATGAAGACTACAAGACTATCTTGAAGCCGATAAAGTTCTACAAGAGAACAAGAATGAAAGCAACCTCTCAAAGATGTTTTATATATTCAAAATGTGTCCTACAAATGATCCCAAAGGTGTCTATTTATAGTATTTCTAAGAAGCATATGAAAAAACTCAAAAGATGAAAACATTCTCATCAATTTAGCAATAAAATGCACTTGAATGCTTTGTCTTCTTATCTTCAAAGTTGGATGAATATTCTAGATCATTTTGGGGATGAATCTAGACAATTTGAAGCTGAATTGGGCCTTAATTTCGTCCAAGGGTTGGAAGACTCTTGCTATTCCATGCTGAAAATTGTCTTGATAAGTGAATTAAATCACCCTTCTTTGCATGCTCCCTTGAAGAATATGAACAGCCCTTGAACTTAGATGATAACAATCAGCTTTGAATGCCTTTAATAGGTGAATTAAGAGTACTTCAATGGCTTGTCACTTGGCTGAAGTTGAAAAGACTCTCCCTTGGCTCAAACTCATCCAAATCATCCATGCATAAAATTCCCGTAACAAAATTCCAGCCTGCACTGTCTTCAATAAATCGATCATATCTCAAGCTCCCGATATCGGATTAAGGTGATTCAAAAGGCGTTGGAAAGCTAAGAGATAGAGGAATAATGTCCAATTGATTTCTAGAACCAAACACATATGTATCGCATACAGAATTGGAAGACATTCTGACTGACATTCTTGCATATGATGAAACCATTTAACTTCTCTCATGCACCTAGACACAAAGGTGAACTTTATTCAATATTTAATTGAAAACATGCATGAAACAATTAAGAGTTAATATAATAAAAGAACTAATTTGATGAATGAACTAGATGATTTAAATGCAATGCATGCTTGAATGAACAACACACTTATTAAATGCAATGAATGTTATGCAAACTTTAAATTCTCATGCAAATTCATGCATAAGCAAAGTAAATTATTCCTCCCTTATTCTTCCTTTTTCATCACGTTCCAAACGTGATGTAAACATACTCTCCATAGCTGCTTGAAATTCCTTAGCCCTTGTTCGTGTGATGGGGCCACTTGGGTACTTCTCCGGGTCTTTGCTATTGGCTATCATATCAGTCCCTCCCTCTCTAAAGCGATTTGTCCCCAAATCATCACCTATATCATAAGGAGACAAGTCAGCAACATTGAAGGTTGCACTGACATTAAACTCACCTGGAAGATCTAATTGATAGGCGTTGTCATTGATCTTCTTGACTATTTGGAATGATCCATCTCCCCGAGGCAGTAATTTGGACTTTCGTTGTGCCGGAAACCTTTCTTTCCTCATGTGCAGCCACACCCAATCCCCTGGCTCAAAAGTAATTCGCTTACGACCCTTATTTGCTTGCTGCTCGTATTGCTTAGTTCGTTTTTCAATGTTCTCCCTTACTTGTTGATGAAGCTTCTTAACAAACTCAGCTTTGTTTAAGTCCATCTTTATTCACAATTTGATCAGCAGGTAATGGTAACAAGTCTATCAGTGTTAATGGATTAAACCCATACACCACTTCGAAAGGCGTACGCCCTGTAGTAGTATGGATTGAATGGTTGTATGCAAACTCCACATGTGGTAAACTCTCCTCCCATGTTCTCAAATTCTTCCGAATGATAGATCGAAGTAACATGGAAAGTACTCGATTCACCATTTTAGTTTGACCATCCGTTTGAGAGTGGCAAGTGGTGGAGAATAGTAACTTAGTACCAATCTTACTCCATAGGGCTCTCCAAAAGTGGCTTAAGAACTTCACATCCCGATCAGACACAATAGTTCTTGGTATACCATGTAGCCTTAAAATTTCCCTGAAAAACAAAGTAGTAATATGTGAGGCATCATTAGTTTTGTCACAGGGAATGAAATGAGCCATTTTGGAAAATCTATCAACAACTAAAAAGATGGAGTCTTTGTTATTCTTTGTGCGAGGAAGCCCTAGCGCAAAATCCATTGAAATATCCATCCATGGTGCTTCCGGTATGGGTAGTGGTGTGTAAAGTCCATGTGGCATGACTTTAGATTTGGCCTTCTTGCAAGTAATGCAACGCTCACATAACCTTTCCACATCTCGTTTCATTTTGGGCCAATATAGATGTTCTTGAAGTATAGCCAAAGTCTTTGCTATCCCAAAATGTCCCATTAATCCTCCTCCATGGGCTTCCTTAGTGAGCAATTCTCGCATGGAACTTTGAGGGACGCATAATCTCCCTTCCTTGAATAGAAAACCATCATGCTTAAAGTATTTATCAATCGTCCCTTTCTCACAAGCTTTATAAATTTCCCCAAAATTAGAGTCAGAAACATATAAGTCTTTAATAAAAGTAAAACCCAACAACTTAGATTCCAAAGTGTTTAAAAGAACATACCTTCGTGACAATGCATCGGCAACTATATTCTCCTTACCTTTCTTGTACTTGATAACATATGGAAAAGTTTCAAGAAACTCTACCCATTTGGCATGCCTTTTGTTGAGTTTATGGTGCCCCCGAATATGTTTCAACGCCTCATGATCGGTGTGAATGATGAACTCCTTAGGCCAAAGGTAGTGTTGCCATGTTTCCATTGCCCTCACAAGAGCATACATCTCTTTGTCGTAGGTAGGATAGTTAACCGTAGCTCCACTTAATTTCTCACTAAAATAGGCTATAGGACGTCCACCTTGAGACAAGACTGCTCCAATTCCTACACCTGATGCATCACATTCAATTTCAAAAGTTAAATTAAAATTAGGTAGAGCAAGTAAAGGGGCATGTATTAAACAATCTTTAATTCTATTAAAGGACTTCTCTTGATCTTCCCCCCAAAAGAATTTAGAATTCTTCTTAATAACACTTGTTAGTGGGGCGGCTATGGTGCTGAAGTTTGGGACGAATCTCCGATAAAAACTTGCAAGTCCATGGAAGCTCCTAACTTGAGAAATGCTTGTTGGTCGTGGCCACTCTTCAATGGCTTTAACCTTCTCTTTGTCAACCTTCAAACCTTCAGAACTCACAACGAAACCTAGGAAAACAACCCTGTCAGTACAAAACGTACATTTTTGTAAATTAGCAAACAATTTTTCCTTCCTTAAAACAAGTAAAACTAACCTCAAATGTTGAACATGTTCTTCCATGGTTTTACTATACATTAGAATGTCATCAAAATAAACCACACAAAACTTACCCAAGAATGGCCTAAGAACATGATTCATTAACCTCATAAATGTGCTTGGTGCATTAGTTAAGCCAAAAGGCATAACCAACCACTCATAAAGACCTTGCTTCGTTTTGAATGTTGTTTTCCACTTATCACCTTCCCGCATTCGTATTTGGTGGTAACCACTCTTAAGATCAATCTTGGAAAAGAGATTAGAACCGCTAAGCTCATCTAACATGTCATCTAAGCGAGGAATGGGGTGACGATACTTTACCGTAATTTTGTTTACCGCTC